ATATATGTATATATATATGTATATTAAAAAATGGCGGGAGAGTGTTTTTTTACCTTTTATTCTTCTTTTTCTTATTGTCATATATGTATCGATATTAAAACCAGTCAGATACAAACAGTACAACCAAATGAATTTTTGTTGACTTTCATAATGTAAACAAAATACGAACAAACTTTTTCACACATGTTAACTTGACTACGTTTTTATAATTGTGTGTATAATCTTAAAATATAGAATGATAATATTTTTTATTGGCATACTCATACAAAAATAACCCAGTACTTCATTGCCTGTCAATAATGCATCGTTTTATCGACAAAATTAATCCTACGACATTCCATTACATGATATGTATGTTCTTGTGAGCAACGACAATATCCAGTTTTAAAGTGAAACTTCTTTATGGACATAGTTGAGAAATTCGCAATGGTATTAAAAAAAAGCCGGTCAAATGCGAGTCGCACTCGCGCATGGAGAGTTCTGTACCATCGTAAAATACGTTTATAGTAGGGGAACCCCCTTTAATTTTTAAATTATTTGTTATTATAGCTGCAACAGAAATACATATTCTGTGAAAATTGTCACTGTCTACCTATTACGAATCATAAGATACAGCCCGCTGACAGGCAGACGGACGGGCGGAGGCTTAGTAATAAGGTCCCGTTGGTTACCCTTTGAGTACGAAACCCTAAAAAGTAAAAAAAGACCATTACAAAATACTAGCATAAAACAGCAGCTTAATGCTGTTCTGTTTCGTATGGTGAGTAAAGAGAATCGGAGACCTTATTTACTGGAAACGAGGCATTCCATATTAGTACTCAGGGGTGGTAAGGGATCTGCATTTTGATTGTTAATCGAGGATACATGTAGATGTCTATGGGTCACAGCATCGACTTACCATCAGGTGGACTGTGTGCTTGTTTGGCATCCTTATTCTATAAAAAGACGTAATCGTGGATCATCAGTTAGCAAAAAATATTTCGGTTGAAAAATTAACAGTCCCAAGGTTGCTTTCCAATAGCGATTTTGATGTCCGGATGGCTCAGTGTTAAGTCTATTTTTCTGCAGAATCTTAGAGTTTGGATTTGAATGTGACATCGAATATTTCATACTATATAAACTCTTCGACCTTGGACAAATATATATAAATTTTGTCAAAAAAAAAGAATTAGAATTTAAAAAAGTCGTATCTTATTCTAGGCAAACTGAGATAAGTATTTAATTATAGATTATACAAGGCATACAAGCCTTATTCATTTTATGGTATTTAATCTGCAGATCTTAAATTATCTACAAATAGTTTAGCTTTAGGTAAAGAAAAAAATACGACCTTATGTGTGGTGACCTTGTGTAAGATGCGAGGAGAATGTTTTATTATTCTTGCGTAATCCTAGGAGTATTTAAAATATTTCATATATTTTTTATACAAAGAAAGGAATATTGCCATCTCTAACCAAAAGAAAAGGTACGCAAGAAAAATGTGTATTTATTTTTATTCAAGTAGGCGCGTAAGTTACAAACGAGTATGCAATCCACCTGATGGTAAATCGATGCTATGCCATAGATATCGATTAAAAATCAAAGCGCAGACATTTAGTGTAGCAGAATTTAAAACAAAATCAAAAAACTCTTTACTGTTTACAGTTTACATTATTTTAACAGATTTTTATTAAGTCACTTTCTTATTTGTCTGTCTGTCTGTCATTCCGTATAACAACTCAAATTTCGAGCATTGACCTATTAGCTAGAGACTTGAAATTTATAACATAGCCACATGAGTAAAAAAACCGTACAGAGGCAAAGCTTCTAAGGAGCTATCAAAATTTTCACCTATTTTAGTAGGGTTGGCACAAGAGGCTAAAATTGAATAAACAAAACGTTTTTTTTTCGCCCAGCCGGGCTAGGATGGGTAGGAGACAATTTTATCCCCGGGGAAAAGAGAAAATGTTTATCCCCTAGCTTAGTTTTATCCACCGTTCGAGCATGGGCACTCCGGTGGATCCACAGTAATACCTACAGTGGATAAAATGGGAAATAGACTTAGATAGATTTTTTTTATATGAATTTTATATTAAATCCACGTCTAATGAACTAGGATTTTCAAATATCAAAAAAGCATAATTTTTTATCTTTCTCGTTATGTCAAACGGGGATATACTTCTCCCCGTCGCCGTGCTTTGGCATAGCGACAAGATAATTTAATCGGTGGATAAATTTTTAGTCCCCAGCCCATGCTAGCCGTGCAGAAGCAATGAAAAGGGCTACTCTCCGGGAGGCGGTGGAGAGAGGTGGTGAACGCTTTAAGCATACCACGTAGCCGGTTGAGTAGTTATGTGGGACTCACTGTGAAACCAAAATGCCTACCCACTAAACACCACCCGGGACTGGCATTGGCCTTTATGGCCTTTCTGCCGAATTGGAAGCGACCCCCTTTAGCGAAATGGGGGCGCAATTTATAACATAACCACATGAGTAAAGAAACCGTACAGAGGCAAAGCTTCTAGGGAGCTATCAAAATTTTTACCTATTTTAGTAGGGTTGGCACAAGAGGATAAAACTGAATAAACAAAAACTTTTATCACATTTTATTATATATACATAACATAGAATTTTTTAGAAGTTATATTTCTTTTGGGGCGTTTGGAAAAAATGATGAGAGTGAATTATTACAATGCGCGCGCACACCGACACCTAAAAACGACAACTTCAGTGGGTAATTGTCCCTCAAGTTTTTTTATTTTGTTACGCTAAAGAAGTATAACTTCCAACGTGCGCACATAAGTACACACAATCTTTTTTTATTAACTACTTATTCTAAATATTTTATTTTTAAATTTTTGTTCTTCAGAAATTTGTTGTGCCTTTTAATTAAATGGTAAATTATGAATCTAAGGTAAAGTTTTTTTTTATAATATAGTGGAAAGCACTTGCATGGGATAACAAAAATGTAGTTTGGAAAACCTAAAAGTGCACGCCTCATGAGCGTTTCAATTAATTTTGATGAAAAAAATAAAATAAAAATAGTGACGATAATTTTTACAAGAAAAAAAAACTGAAATCTGATCAACTTTCATTAATAAGTTTTAAACGGTGTTGAGTTCAATAACAAAAATCAATCGGGATCCTCCTTAGAATGTATGGAATCTTATTTAATGCTATGTATCTCAATCTATTGCTTATATTTCTATTAAGCGAGAAGACTCTCCAACGCATAGACTAGCGGACGACAGTTCATATATTTTTTTCAATTACATTTTTTGTTATGTAATCTAAAGTGAATCAATTAAAAAATAAACTAATCTTATAATTCAATGTCTGTAGTTATTGTAACGTTAATAATAATATGGATTTGATGTCTAGCTAAAAGTATAAGAAGATTTTATATAGCTATATTGAGGTATGGCCACATATCTAGAGTAGAGCACTCACTCACGTTATTAGGCGTGCAATATAATTTTGAAAACGTTTTAATATTTCATTACCAATATTTACAATGATTCTTTCGAGATCAAAATATTCTCAAATTTTTGCTCAATCAATTCATACATTCGTTTCAAATACATTATCACATTGGCTGGAACTCAAACGGAAAGAAAGTTGGAAAAGCATTTCCAAATAAATATTTTACAGGTCTTTGTGTAGAAAACTTAATACAGGATTTTTCGAAGTGATTTTCACAGTCTTTATTGTTGTAAAAGGAGATCTTCACGTTCGACAGCTTTTAACCAATCTTGCTCTCTGAAATAATAGTAATATTAATAAAACATGAACCTACGTATTTAATTTATAAACGTAATTATTCAATTATAAAATTATAAAAATAACTATTCAATTATTATTAACTATCAAGGTGGGTCACTTATAGGTGAGTTATCTATCTACAACATTGAAAATAATAAATTATAGTCAAGTTACTACTTACCTAGTGGAGTCTTTGGGATAGTTAAAAAAATATATATTTATATTTGTTCTATTATTGTTTATACAAACAGAACAGTAAACAATACTAACACTTTTTTATATTTCATGTGACAGGAATAATTCTTAAAAAAATAAAATTTTACGCTTAATATTCTTTACACAGCCCTGAGTTTGAGCACTGGCCGACCCGGTTTAAAGTAGTTTCTTTGCGTATGTGATGAGCCGCCAGTGCTCACGCACACTCGCACCTCTATGGCAGTGTAATTATCATAGCGCAGTTGTATAAAGCTTTGCCTCTGTACGGTACGGTTTCTTTGCTCATGTGACATAGCTCAGAATTGGATCACAATGTAGGAATGTGAAAAAATGTGGTATATTAAATTTATTTATTAAAAAAATAAAAACAAACTTGTTTATAAAATTAAAGTGACACATAAAATTACAGTTCACCAGATGGTAAGTGGCTACTTACCATCTGGTGAACTGTCTACAGCTCTGGACGTCCGAAAACCAACTTCAAACAAAGAAGGCGTATGGATGCGTTGTCACTACTGAGTACTAAGATGGTGTGCCTCAGAGTCTGTAATAATACTGCCTCTATATACCCATCAGACTGGAACACGCTAGTGCAGATAACTATCCATTCAGATTCCGATGCACAAAAGGAGTCTTACGACCTACTTAACTACAAACATGGGCTGTTTAATTATAAGTGAATCCAGTACTAGGATGAGATCTCGCAACTATGATAGTGTTTCCGTCACTGATCTATTTCATCGTATATGAAAGAAAAGAAAAAAATGAGCAATACCACGCTTGCACGGATACCAGCGTGAAATTGCAACATAATGCTACTGTATTTCGTATGGTATGTGACGACAACCGAAGACCCTTTTTACTGGTAACGAGGCCTTTGATCTTGATACCCCAGAGTAACAACTCATCTTTATTGTTAATCGAGAATAGATGTGGGTATTTATATGCAACATAATCCACTTACCGCCATATGAACTTACTACTCATTTGTCCTATTTACTTCTACTTATAAAAAATACTTTAGATAACTTTGCTTTTTCCAGTAAACCTAAGCGTGCTTACAACTGGTATGAACTTGGGATGGCCGTCCCCAATGATTGTAAAGCTAAGAAATGCCACGGAGACGCCTCTATACCGCCCTATTACCGAGGAGGAGGGATCCTGGATTGTGTCCGTGGGATTCTTATGCAGTGTTTTCAGTAAGATTTCTTTTTTGATCTCGATATTAACCGTAAATACATTAATTTGAGGAAAATAACAAGAGAATAGTTCCCTTATTATAATCTAACTAAAATTGTATCAGCCCATATTGGAACAGCGTGACATTTCATTAAAATTCTACCATCCCATATTGGAACACAGTGGCAGTGTAAGAAATTCCAATACTCCAATATCGTCCCCTGAGTGTCATGAGAGGCGACAGAGGCAAACAAACCAGGAGATGGGCAGCAGCTTTTTCCTAATAATAACTAAAATATAAAAAAGCTGCGATTTCCAATCCAACTCCATACCGTGGCAGTTATGGCAAATATCCTCCCTATGAGGCAATCTATGGGATGGTCTATGTTCAACAGTTGACTTTTCATAGTCTGCAACGCCATAGCATATTATCTAACTCTCAAGCGGTCCTTTACATGGTAGAGCCATGCTGCAGCTATATTAGTAGTATAGTTGTAGCACGAATGGGTTGGCTCGACCGGGGAAATACCACGCTCTCACAGAATACCAGCGTAAAATAGCAGCTTAACACTGCTGTGTTTCGTATGGTGAGTGTAGAGAACCGGAGACCCTTTTTAATGGATAAGAAGCATTCCATCTTAGTCCTCACGAGTGACAACGCAGCTGCATTTTGATTCGGAAACGAGGATAGATGTAAATGTCTATGGGCCACAGCAACCACTTACCATCAGGTGAACTGTGTGCTCGTTTGTCGCCCTATTCTATAAAAAAAAATGATTAATGCCTTTAGGTCAGGTAGGACAAAAATATCGTATTTTAGACAGAAAGACGCTCAAGAATTACTCAATAAAATTTTAAATTGAATGGATTTTTAAAGTTATTTATATTAATTGAGATAAAAAAGTATTGAACTATCATATACGAAAGTTTAGTTAGTACCCTAATGTGAAAAAAGAATATAATTTAATCGCCTGGGAGAAGCTTTGGTTTTTTTAAGTGATACACAGACATATATAATTCTTAATATTCTTCGATAATATATTTTTGATGATGAGTGGTGATGGTAAGTGGTTGCTGTGGCCCATAGACATCTACACCTATCTTCGATTAAGAATCAAAATGCAGATGCGTTGTCACCCGTGAGGACTAAGATAGAATGCCTCGTTTCCAGTAAAAATGGTCTCTGGTTTTCTACACTCACCATACGAAACACAGCAGCATTAAGCTGCTATTTTAGGCTGGTATTCTGTGAGAGCGTGGTCCTTCTCCGGTTGAGGCGAACCATTCGTGCTAAAACTATACTATTAATATAGCTGCAACATGGCTCTACCACGTAAACAAAAATGAAACAAAACAAATATGAAAGACATCTTGCTATTGAATTAGATTCTTAATGCAGGAGCATATTAAAAAAAATATTAAAACCTTTTCGACCAATCAAAGATTGGATGAATTAAGTTTGTAAGCGATATAAAAAAGAAACTAATGAAATTAAAATTTTTACAGCAAATTTCGCCCTAGGTATGTTACTGGACTGCATAGGCAGAAAATACTGCGTGATACTTACCTGTGTGCCGAAGATAATCGTAAGCATCCTCTTTATCTTCGCGACAGACGTATGGATGCTGGTACTGGGTCGTGCCTTTATTGGTATAGGTGATATCTTTCTATTGTCCGTGGTCCCTGTTTACGCGTCGGAAATCGCTAGTGTAAGTGCTAAATTATTTTTATTTTATTGTATGACCTTTAATAATCTTTGCATATAATAAAATCGTACACACGTTTTTGTCTGTTTGTCTGTTCGTTTGTGCACGATAATCTCCACAATGTCTAAACCAATTTGGATGTGATTTGCAGATATGTATAGAGGTAAGGTTAGGTAGTGTGTTACAATATAATCGGTCGAAACATAAAAAGTATAATATGTTATTTTAAAGAGATCTCCCATGCGCTCGACATAACATATTTTCTTCGACCAGTATCATTTTTGTAAATTGTATGTTATATTGTAAATTATATGTTTATATTATCTACATTATCCCTATGTTTTGTTCAGTGGTTCGAACTTTATTTTTTATTTACATAACTAAGGCAATTTTACTATATTATGTATTTTATATAAGATCTCTCTGCCATAGATTTCGTTTTAGAGATGATATTTGCTATAGTCTTAAACAAGAGACATTATGTTACAAAGTTTCTATTCAAGAATAAAAAAAATGTCTTAATAACTATTACTTTTATAATTGTAAAATGACCATAGGAACGTCACATTTAAGAAAACATAGAGTAATATGTATTATTTTGCAGAAGGACATGCGAGGGATTCTTTGCACCTTCCAGCATGTCTTTTTATCACTGGGATTAGTAATATCTTTGTCGGTTGGACCGTTCACATCATATAGAACTTTTAGTATAGTGTTTGCTGCAATAATCTTGATCACTAGTATTCCGCTGCTCATCTTGCCTGATAGCCCGTACTTTTTGTACTCGAAAGGTAAGTTTATTATAAACATTCACTTTTAATTGTTCTGAAGTTATACTTCTTTTGGGGCGTTTGGGAAAAATGATGAGAGTGAATTATTACGAAGCGCGCGCACTCCGACAGCTAAAAACGATACCATGAGATTGTTACGATACGAGCGCACACTGATACCTAAAAGCGAAAACTTCAGTGGGTAATTATCTCTCAAGTGTTTTTATTTTGTTACGCTAAAGAAGTATAACTTTCTCCATGTGTACATAAGTATACACACTTTTTTATCATAATCACAATCATAATTTATTTATTTGTAGAAAACCTGGTACAATAATGGCTTGTAATTTTTTTAAGTCCAGCATGCTTTGTAATAATCATGACATACATACAAATATTTATCTAATACATAAAATTACATTATTATATAAAACAAACTAAATAATATAATTATAGTTAATTCATTTTAAAATCGACGCTTAACCCTAAACATAAAATTTAAATATTCTTCAACAGAAAGATTCTTAACAATCCTGCGAAAACGTGCTTTTGCTGTGTAGGCAATGCATTGAAAATTTTGACACATAGCCGTGCAATTTGATATACATAGCTGAGCAATTTAGTTTCTTAATCATACCAACTAAGAATGAAATACGTTGCGCTGCGTACATTTCGTGTGTCGCAAAATCTAAGCCAAAACCATGCTCAGCTTATTGTATGAAGGCACTCACGTACTCATCATTATTCATCATTAAAGCCCTTCACTCACCGGTACGAGGCTGCCACTTGAGAACCTTTCTTGCTCATTGGTTGTTGTCCACGTACACATATGAATCTAAAGTTATTTGTAACCAATAACATGGCTTCACCTGCATATTATGTGTATGTCGAGCAGTGAACTTTAACGCGCTGATAATTAATGAAAGAAGAAAGATTTGTGCGTGAATGAGCTTGAATTTCTTGAATGCTTGGAGGGGTTTTAATGCAAGATGTTCTGTAAGTTTTCAGTACCTATATTATTTAATTTGTCCATCATTGCCATCACTAACAGTCATTGTTAAATATGCATGAACGCAGGCCTCTCTAATTCGGTCATGATCAAACGTATATTATTATAAAGTAGAACTATAAATTAAGGACAGCTTCACCTATATGTCAAATATGAGAAAGCCAGAATGTTTTTATTACCCCGGTAGATGGCGGTATGACTATCACATTATAGCGGATATATAATATCTAGACCGGCGACGACGAGTAGAGTTAAAAGTGCGTACTATTAACAATACTACCAATAATAAAGTCTTCTAAGCCAAATTTCGGTCACAGCGGTCAGTCTTAATGGAGACTAGCCATCTGGGCGTGACAGGATTATAGTGCACGAGTGTGTACGCAATCGTAGTTGTAGTTTTTTAATCTAATAGTCAGATGAGGCTATAAGACAGAAATTCGATATGATCGCCTAGAACCACTGTCCACAGTACAATAATATTGTTGCGCGGCACTATTAATGTCTTGTACATGGCAACACTAGTTACCACTAGTGCCCTCTAGTATCGCGTAGCAGAACTAGGAGAGTCAAGATCCTTCTAGAAATTTCAGGACCGATATGTACTCGAACATTCTAGATGTTTCTACAGTAGAAGGTTCTGGAAAATATCTGAGAGCCGGATAAGGCCGGTATAGACCACGAGCGAGTCAGTATTGAATTGGTGATACAAGCGAATACTTCGAAGCGAAATAACTGCGAACTAAACTGATCAGCAGTACAATTGTGTTTTATTACTAGTGTGGTTTTAAGTTGTAATTAAAGTGTCAATTTTGGTAATTCAATCGGCAGTTATTTTTTAATTGTCTCGAACCCTAAGCTCGTAACAATATTCTCTAGAGAGAGCTTGTCACTTATTATCCGGTGACATACATAGTTTGTGCTATTCGTCTATAAAAAAGTGCTCACAGTTTAATATTAGGATAACAACGTGAGGATGTCATTAGTAGATCATGTAGTGGCGGTGTAAGAATATCCACTACTCTATATTGACCCGTGGGTGTTGTAAGAGGCGAAAAAGGGAAACAAATCAGGAGATAAACAGCAGCGTCTTCCTATTATTAACAAAAAAAAACTGTGGTTGCCATCCTGCCTGCCAAGCGTGGAAGCTATTACAAATACCGCTTCTATGAGGCAATATATGGGTGACGCATATGTTGAGCAACGGATTTTTGATAGACTGTAATGTTTAGTAATAATAAGAGAATGCTAGTAAAAATTTTTTTTTAGGAAAAGCCACGAAAGCAATAGAAATACTAAAGTTACTTCGAGGCACAGATCAAGCTGCCAAGGAAGAAATTGCAGAGTATGCGATATCGATGAACAATGAAAAAGTTGATAAACTGAAACTATTGAAGAATCGCCTTGTACTAAAATCTCTCGGAATATCGATAGTATTCTGCGCCGGAGCGCAGCTTATTGGTTTTAACGCTGTGTCTTTTTATTTGCAAACAATTTTAATATCGACTAAAACGAATGTGATGCCGGAGATAGCGTCGGTGATAATAGGGTTGATAGAGCTTTTTGCGAGTTTCTGCACGACTCTTGTAACTGAGAGGTTTAACAGAAAACACATATTGATTTCATCGCTTATAGGCATGCTGATTGGAATGGTGAGTTCCGTATTGAAACGATGAAACTATTTTATTTACATCATCATTGTCACCGTCACTTGACTGCGTATCACGAGGATTTCTTACGTGAACACCACATACTGCATTAAAGTACTTAAATTCAAAAAAATAATTTTAATTCTTAATTGAGAATAGATATAGATGGGCATAGACTATAATATCCATTTAACATCTGGCGGACTATGTGCTCGTTTGTCACCTTTATTATATACGTATAAAAATAACCGGCCAAGTGCGACTCGGACTCGCGCATTAGGTTTCGTAGCGCTCAGGTTCCGTACCATCGTAATACACGTTTCTAGTAGGGGAACCCCTTTTAATTTTTAATTTATTTTATTTTTTATTACTTTTTGTTATAGCGGCAACAGAAACACACATTCTGTGAAAATTTCAACTGGTTATGAGATACAGCCCACTGACGGACAGATGGACGGACGGACGGACGGACAGCGGAGGCTTAGTAATAGAGTCCCGTTGGTTACCCTTTGGATACCGTAACCCTAAAAACTACTTTTAATTCTCTACGTTTTAAGTACTTCACCTGCTACTTTACCTATAACTAAGGTCGTTGATGTCCTGATTTCAAGGTTACCCTGGTTTATTGACGTGAAACACATCAACATACACTTTTGGCCGATCTACGTAGAACGAGCTTTTAGTATCTTGTAGTCTTGTACTGATATGCTAGGATTTGAATTTAAAACCATCTTCTCTATTGAAATTAGGATAATTTTAATGTCATTAACCTTGCGAATTATTCTTGGTAGGAATCGATGTTTTTTTGTGAGATCTGATGTACGTAATGGTAATAATGCAAATCTGATATAATGTTTTTTTTTTCTATAGAAAACGATACCCCCCACACTAGGATTTTCTCCTGTATTGTAGAGGCAGTTTACAAACATAAATTGCACAAGGACAAACATCCAGACCCAGAACAATCACTAATTGTAGGTCGTAAAATTACTTGTTCCGTGCGGGTTTTTACCCGCGGCCCCAAACATATCAGCTCGTTGTAAAGCCACTGCGCCACGGAGCCGTCAACTCGGCTGGCTCAACTCTGAACATTGTAATGTTGCAACATGATAAAAATACAAATATGATGTAGTGTAGTTTTGACATACTGCAGATTTACACTATGTGGATGTGTTAGTAAAAAATTAAGAGAAACTACAGAGTTTTGACTGAGCTTAAACATTTTTTGGGCCAAAAGCGATGTTTTCTATGAGATAACTCATAATCTTTTCGTTTATGTGAAATGTGTTACAATGAAGCGATTTAGATTTGTGTTTTATTTTATATTTATCAGAGGCACTTTAACTTGCAGGTTGGACTTGGTGTATTTTTTAAAATAAGAGAGAACACACAAGAAGTGTCCGGTTTCATGAATTACCTGCCTCTAATATCGCTGATTCTCGTCGTCTACTGCTGCAGTGCAGGTATTGGTGCTATATTTTAAAAGCTTTTATTTAACTTGCAATGTTTGTATGTTTGTTAGGATCAAATCTTGCAACTGAATTTTAAAGCAGTTATCTTCAACCGATTGAGCTGAAATTTTGCACACATGTTTAGTATAGATGAAAATATATTGTTAGTAGTGCCTAAGTGATGTCATTCTAAATCTGATATAGCGGGCCGCCCAAGATGACGAAATATGTTTTTTTTTCACCCCTATGATATGGTTCGCTGAGAAGAATATGAATAAAATTACGTCCGTAGGTATTCAGGTCTTCGAGGAGATAGTGTACTACTGCCCGACTAGACGGTAAGACTTAGCGGGGTCATATCTTAACTAATATCGACCTACACCCTGAGCAAATTCTAAAGGTGTTGAAAAAATTCAAAATGGCGGAAAACAAGATGGCTGCCATACCAATTTTCTAGAGATATAACTCGGTAAAGGTGAGGGATACTTTAGTGGTGCTAGAAAAAAATTTTGTAGGGACAGACAATGGTCAACTGCTCGGGATAAAAAATGTCAAGCTTGTCGCAAGATTTACCTGCGTACATAAACAAGAATACAAAAAGAAACTTGATATTGACAGAAGTAGATAATTTTAAGAAAAAAAAAGTTTTTTCTATAAAATAGGTAAATCTCACGACAAGCTTTTATGCCTCTTGATGCCGCGATGTTGCCCTGTCTGTCCACACACTGTTCTACTCGCGCAATTAATCGCGATGCCTACCGTACCACTAGGTCGCTCGCGTTTGCAATACAATGGATGTTGAAACTATTGCAGCATGCGAGCTATTATTATAGCTAATTAGATCAATGTCATAAAAAGAAACATACGTTTTCGTCGTCGCGATAGCTCTTTCTCTGTATATTAGTTACTCATGTGATAATATGGCTGAATGTTGATTATAGGTACACTATTTATGATTTTTAAATGACTCAAAAAAATGGTTCGGCGTCTGGATGTTTATCCATGTGCAATTTATGTAACGTTTCTACAATACAAGATGAATTTTTATTATGGGATAACGATTATTTTAATTCAAAAATATACACTATGCAAGGCATTATTAATGTATGATTAGAACTTGTGCAGGCTATTTCCATGCGACGGTTAACCGAAACGTCACATAATTTATGTTGTCAGGCCATATCAATATTGGTTCCATTTTTTTTTATTTTCTGTTTTTTTTTTTTCAGGAATGGGTTCTATTTTTTGGGTATTAATCGCAGAATTATTTGAAGGACCCGCAAGAGCAGTCGGCGTTTCAACCAGCTTATTAATCACCGCGTTCTTTATATTTCTCACCACAAAATATTTCGCCGCCCTCACGCTTGATATTGGACCAGCGACCACATACTGGTTGTTCAGTGGTGCTTGTGCAATTGTTTGTTTGTTCATTTATTATTGTGTTCCCGAGACTAAGGGTAAAAGTTTTAGTGAGATACAGGAGGCTTTAGGTGATAGAGAGGCGAGTGACAATATGAAACAGACTTTCGTCCCCGTAGAGCGAAAAGTCATTAAGTCTAAAAATCGTGTTTTGAAATAGTGAGAGTTACAGTTTTTGAAAATAAAAATCGTAATTACCTTGGCTTGCCTTTACATATCTTTACGTTTTTAGCTTTTATTTGAAGGAAACAAAATAAAAATTATATTATAAGAGCTAAAACACGTGAAAAATATCTAATAATTGAGAAAAGTTAAAAATATGAAAGTAATAAAATAAAATAAAAATTGTTTCTTTAATATCTCTGGCTTTATTGTGAATTAATTTAATGTCGAACGTAATTGATAACTTTTCCCTTAGTTCTAAATTATTTTGAAGAAACTAACCAGACTTAAGTAAAATGGAACTACCTATTAGATGTACGTAACGTGTATTGTAAATACTACTTATCTGATATTCGAAGCTTGTATGGTAAATTTTGTTTTAAATATATTAAGTAATTAAACTATTGTTATAAATTCAATCAAGTTTTTTTTTTGAAGGAAATATTCGAAAATATTAACAAAGATCAAGAAAATACTATTACTGTTAAATAAAAACAAAAAAGTGCAAGAAACTCATGCACAAAAACTGAAAAAATAATAGAACGAATAGAACATATAGTTATTAAAAAAAAAATAGATTTCATCCACTACTTCTCCTCGGTGACATCTGGCTTCAAAATCCTGTCTACTACGTCTTTACTTGTAGGTAAAAACTGGTACCACACGTGGAGCTCTTGTGAGATTATTCCCTTTGCACATAAATAATTGAGGTCCTTCTTTTTTGCCTCTGAAATAGGAAATTTTTCAATTCTTGCATCAGTTCGTCTGTTCCTTGTCCATTCGTTTATTCTTCTTCTTTCCTCCTCTTTCTAGTAATAAGTGTAGTTTTTGTCAGACATTCTAAAATATTAAATTCTAGATTAATATCTAAACTAATCGAGACTCGGGCATTTTCGCTCAAAACGAAAGCACTTAATTTTTAGCCATTTAATTTTATTGCCTTCATCAACATCAACCATTTCAGTATATTTTAATTCCTTAACAGTACGAGGCGGTGCTGAAAATTTGTTTCTTTTAGAGCGAGTACGAGCAAGTCAATCATGGAATAAACAGTGGAGTCCACTTCCATATGAGTGTGAACACTCTCTAAATATTTTTGCTCAATAACTTCCAACTGCACATCCGACCTTTGAATCAAATGAACCAAAAATGCCGTGATAAATTGGTTTCTATTATGTCCAGCGCACGTGTCGCTATACATGGTGATTTATTTAATATTGGTTGGTATCTGACTAATCTATCAGTTAATTGCACTAACAATTTTCACACGCCCCTTTTACCATTAATCTCATTCCAAGTTATACAAAATGCTTCATCAGGTGAATTGTATAATTTTGTTGGTTTAATTTTCTGGTTTCCACATATTTGCTTTATTTCATAGACCATACTACTGTATGTCTTTTTCATATGGGACTTCAAGTCATAACTCTGCTATCATAATGCTTATGCATCATGGAGACCTTCTATAATAATGTTTTGGTTCGTTAGACCTTACTATGATAAGTCCCTAATATAGGACTAGTCGTTGTGCAACCTTAGTACTAGCAGTTGATCAGCCGACCACCCCATATATTTATGTACAATCACAATACAATTGGGTATGCGTCTCCGGCAACGCCACCATATAAAGGAACATTACAAGAACACGTTCATCAACTTAGAAATTTTCCGATTATTACAAGAACACCTTCATCAACTTAAGAAAATTTTGATCCATTTTTTTTATTATATTACAAATGCATAGAAGAATCACCCCCAATCTAATATAACTGCCATGGTTTCTGAATCATACCTACAGAAAACGATTGTTCTGTATAATATTATTATTATTTCTCGGTGCTAATTCATCTATTTTTAGTTTTGACATCATTTTATGATCTTGTTGAATACACTTGAAAGACTTCCTATGACTATGCTTTGTTTACTTGGCTCAATTTCAGATCGATATATAATTTCCAATATTTTTCATTTAATTTATAGAATTGAATCCTAAATAATTAATGAAAGAGAAACCGCTCTATCTTGTTAATGTATAAAGCAGTGGTTTTATCAACTCTAAATAAAATTGTACACCATAAGTATTATTTATTTGCAGTAAGTGTTATTCATAATATCTCTATTATTATTTACTTTTAAAGGTTTTGTATTGTGTTCCACAATTTCAAAATTATAAGCATATACTACTTTCATATCCAATAATAACATATCATGTAATTTCCTCACAATGAAGGACTAAGACCCAAAAATATTTTTAGTTCCAATGGCTTCTTTTCATCCAGTTGAGAAGTGTCAGTTTTTATTTCAAAAATTTTTAATAATATGATTATTTACAATATTATTCACTACCATCTAAGATCAGAAATTTGCAATTGAATATATATTACCTTCCATATACATTATTTTGTACATAGTAGTTAAGAAAACACAATTATTATTACTGATAGCAACCTAAATGGCTTATGCACAAATATAGAGTAGCTATTCATATCACAATTATGTGTATAAGTATTTTTCCATAATTTCCTTTTACTACAGCAAATTAATTTTGTTGCTAACATCTTTTGGTAATGTGTTTTATGCATCTGTCAGCCATAACTCTCGTATGTTTACCATAATTATTTTACTTTATGAAGGTAATAATAATCTGGTAGGTATAAAAAACTACATAAAATAACTGAACAATATATATTTTTTAAGATTACCATGTTTACTATGTCCTTAACATGTAACTTATATTTTAACTTGTCATAATGTTTAAATAACTTATAATAGAAAATTTGTTTACTATTATAATCATTTTGAAATTTCTTTTTAATTGTTCAATGTACAATTGCTTTAAGTAGTGAATTTTGTAAGTTTTATATTTTTCCAAATAGATATTTTATGTACAGAATATTTTATGCATTTTGCACTTCATTATTTTATTTAAAACTTAATGATGCTAAACACTGCTTTCTTTCTTGTAACTTAGGTTATACTAAGCTACATAATACAGCTCGGATGTAACAATGTGCCTTGTTTAAATTTCATTCATTAATCATGGTATGGCTAGAATGTGCCAAACAGTTGAAAATTACTCCATAGTCTAAGTTTTATTACATAAATAATAATAATTCGGCGTTTACTGCCTGTTATTGACTTTTTTAATTATATTTTGTTAATTTCTTAAAATTTATAATAAAACTAAGGTCATGAAAAATCTGTTGTCTTTTTATTACTTTTTTAATAATTTAAGAAAATTATTGTTATTCCATCTGATGGTGGACAATAATATTTTTGTTTTGCAGACATGCCAAAATTGGCTTCATAAGCTCCGTATGGAGCCAAGTAAATCCGAGGAGGATATAATTGAAATAATAGCTTATATTATATACGTGGTAGAGTCATGCTGCAGCTATATTAGTAGTATAGTTGTAGCACGACTGGGTCGGCTCGACCGGGGAAGGACCACGCTCTCAAATAATACCATCGTAAAATAGCAGCTTAACACTGCTGCGTTTCGTATGGTGAGTGTAGAGAACCGGAGACCCTTTTTACTGGAAAAGAGGAATTCCATCTTAGTCCTCACGGGTGATAACGCATCTGCATTTTCATTCACAAACGAGGATTGATGTAGATGTCTATGGGCCACATGTAGATGTCTACATGTGGATCTACGATGTAGATGTCTACTTACCATCAGGTGGGCTGTATGCTCGTTTGTCACCCTATCCTATAAAAAAAATATTCAAATCTTTCAGATCTTTCTTAACAGTTAGATTAATATGTATAATTTTTTAAAACTATTTAAACTTGTTACCTCTTGATATTTAATATAATACTCAGACCCATCAATTGGTATGGAGAAAGAAATAATTTTATCAGGTAAAAAATCAATCGAAATTCAAGAAATCAAAAATAATAAAATCAAAAAATGTAGATCTGTATGTCTATACATACATATATTAATTTATAGCCGCTTAGTAACTGACGGTTACTCAGTACCTATATAACATCCTGCAGTCACGCCAAAACTAAGAGGAGAGAATCATTGTACAAAACGTAATAATTTATTGCAAAAAATTTGTGATAAAATTAAATAAAATTACAAAGTTATCTAAGATACTCCATACGATACAGAAGGAAATATAACAAATAATAAACTATTGAGTTTGTGTCAGTTTTTAAAAAGGTTACAAGATATAACAAAATGATACAAAAATAAATGTCATAAAAGTTCAGGATGTGATTGACGATATAGAGCTGACACGTAATCATGCTTTAGGAAATCACGCCAAATGTAAACAATACTTCTGTTAAAAGTGGTGTACATAAAGGAATTAAGAATAGACAAAATCTTTCTTTTCAGATTTCCGCTGAGTTTTTAGTAGAAAGCCTAATACGCCAATTATATATATGTATATATATATATATATATATATATATATATATATATATATATATATACATCTATATACCTATAAATGTATATTATTAATAAATCAATATATTCCCCGTAATATTTTGTATTATGTTTTATTTTGCCCTATCTAAAACGTGGTAACTATGTATATAGAAAATGTGGCGTATGAAATGACTGACAATCACTAGCACATTATCTAGGTATAAAGACGTTTTACGTTTTCGTGGCCTCCACATGATATTTTTGTCAGCATAAGGTACACTTTTGTATCTGAAACGGATATGAATATTGCATATGTATACCATACAAAAGTATAGTAGCAGTTATGTAAGTCCCTATGCTGCGTACAGGACTCCTTTCACTTCTGAGAAGGTTTAAGGCCAAGGAAATGTCCACTGCGCTGCCCCAATGCATGTTTGCAAACTTCAGATGTCTTCGAAATTTTTTTCTTATTCCTCAGACATGCAGGTTTTCTCAGGATGTTTTGCTTTTCTGCCGAGCACGTGCTAAATCAGCACTTAAAATTGTAATTAAAAATTTCATTGGTGCTGCTGGGGATCAAACCCGGGCGAAATTTACAGCGAGCGCTTAACAACTCGCAGTTGAGCTTTTACGTATTTAAAACTTAAGCATTTGAAAGCTCGTGATGCCTACCAAACAAAGCTACAGCACCACATCGTGCAATGTAATTGAAGATGTACAGAAGATTATGATGACATAACTCTCAGGGTTACGCAAGTATAATAGGCAGTATATCACTTATATACTTGTCACCTCTGCAGTCTAATCTTTGCACTTTTCTAAGTGATACAAAAAGTGCTAGATGGTGTTAATTTCTGCATTTGCCGTTTCGTTAAGGTCATTCAGGCTTCTTAAAGTCTGCTGTACAATACATGTGGTTGACGCGAGCATGTTTTAAAGTATTTTATTTGTTTAACTAATTTTAAGTGGCATTTTCGAAAAATATAATATTTATCATGGTGAATTACTGTTATAGATATATGAGTTACTAAGTAAAATTGAACTCAAATGACAACAATTCAAATGAAATTGTTTACCCGAATGCGAATGCACTAGCTACATAATTAAATTTAACATATGAAAACTAAAAACATAGCAACATAATTAAATTTAACATATGAAAACTAAAAATATCTAGTATATAAATAAAAAATGTCACGAAAATATTTCCATAATCCAAAGGGTATTTGGAATACTATAAACAAAATCATTAACCTTAAACAATATTCACCCCCTCCCTGTGAGTTACTAAATCTAACTCATGATCCACAAAAATTTCTCAATATTGTTAATAATTACTTTGCAGAAATTAGCTCAACTTGTGCTAACGAAATATTAAAAAAAAAACAGCAAAACAATGGCCATCATAACATCGTTAAACATCGAAGTGAATCCGACCATTTGAATAATTCTATGGTATCGCTCGATACAGACTGTTACAAGATAGAAGCTATTATCACAAACTTATAAAATTATTCAGCCACAGGAATCGACAGAATACCTACGCCAGTTCACAAAACCTGCCAAAAACAGCCCCATGCCACCTGTAACATATATGTGTAACCTTTGCTTAAAAAGTGGTGTTTTTCGAGACATCTAAAAAAGGGCTTTAGTTCATCCCATACATAAGAGTGGTGTCAGTGACAGTGTTGAAAATTATCGGCCCATATCTGTACTGAGTGCGCTTTCTAAAATACATGAAAACGTTTTAAATCTTAGACTCACAAATTTTCTCAAACGTAATAATATTATTTCGGATAACCAATTTGGCTTTGTGAAAGGTAAGTCTACTGAAGACGCAACTTTAATCTTAACTGGGACGATTGCAAAACATCTTGATAATAAGTCGAAAGTAATAGGTGTTTTTTTTGATTTGTCAAAGGTCATCGACACTATCTCTGTTCCCCTACTTCTTCATAGGATGGAACTGATCGGCATACGGGGGATTGCTTTAGATATATTTCGATCTTATTTATCTAATCGAACGCAGTTAGTTAAATTCGGTGATTACATTAGTTTACCTACAACTGTCTTATTTTGAGTCCCACGAGGCAGCGTATTGGGCCCAACTCTCTTTCTCGTTTACGTGAATAGTTTATGCAAAATTACGTTGCCTAACTGCAAAATCATTTCGTATACCGATGATACAGATTGAATTGTACACGGTAAAGATAGGAAAGACGCCCAATATTATACAGAGTTTGCGCTTGGTAAGGTCATGTGGTAGCTTAGTAGTAACCTACTGACAATTAATTTGAAGAAAACGCGTATTACCTTCACTCACCGTGTTAGTACCTAACCATCAGCGGAATTTCATCTCAAAGCACAAACATGTGAACAATAAAGCAAATGTAACTACCCAATACTATATGTTAGTCGTTCCACTCATATAAGATACCTCGGACTTATCATAGACTACTGCCTATCTTGGTCAGCGCATATTAGCAACTTAACCTGCCGTATTAGAAAATTAATACCAATTTTCAGAAAATTGAGGAATTCAGCTGATTTTGAAACCTTGCTATGTGTTTATTTATGCCTTTGCTCAGAGTTTACTATAATATTGCATTTTAACTTGGGGTGGAATTGGAACGATAACTCTAGTCCCCTTAGGACATGCACAGAGAGCAATATTAAACGTTATGCTGGGTAAATCACAAAGATATAGCACTGAACTTATTTATAAGTAATATTCTGTACTTACTGTAAGACAACTATTAGCTCCTTACATACGAAATTGGCGTTTTGTATGGGAGGAATATAAAGTCAAGTTTTTTTTGTAAAATATATTTAATTAATCAAAGTATGCACCGTTGTTATCTGTGCACTTTTGCCATCTCATAGGTAGTTCATTGATCCCTTTACTAAAAAAACCATGGGGGCGAGAATCAATAAACTCTTTGAAGGCGATTTAGACTGCCGCATCTGAGTTGAATTTTTTTACTTGTAAGAGGTTGTCCAAATTCCAGAAAAAATGGTAATCTGTTGGAGCAAGTTCCGGGGAGTACGGTGGATATCGCAGACATTCCAATTGTAGCTCATCTAATTTAGTGGTTTTCTGTTGTGCAGTGTGTGGTCTTGCGTTGTTGTGAAGCAGCAGTGGCCTAGAGCAATTGATCAATCTCGGTTGTTTAGCAGCTAGTTCCTCCTTCATGATTTACAGTTGCTGATAATAGATATCTGCCGTAATCGTTTGGCCAGATTTTAGAAAGCTGTAGAGAACGACACCGGCGCTAGTCCACCAAACACAAGTAAATTTTTCTGAGTCAATTTTCGTTTAGGGCAGGATTTGGCTGGGTCTTTGGCAGGATTCAGCCATTGCTACGAGCGCTTCCGATTATCGTACAGTATCCACTTTTCATCACAAGTAATGATTCGATTTAAATTCCCTTTATTATTGTGTCGGTTGAGCAAAGTAACACAGAAGTCGACGCGTGTTTCTTGCAAGTTCGATTCACTCAATTCATGAGGATTTCCCGATTTGCTTCAAGTGGATTAACATAGTTTTATCACTTATCCTAAAGCCTGCAGCTATCTCAGAAGTGCTTTGTGATGGATCTGCTTTCACAATAGCCTTTAATTCTTCATTTTCCACTTTGGTCTCCGGCCGTCCACGGGGTTGGTTCTGAAGGTCGAAATTTCCAGAACGAAAACATTGGAACCAAAAACGTACCGTGCTTTCTTTTGCGACACCAGCGCGATACACATCATTAATCGTTCGAGCTGTTTCTGCAACACTGGTGCATCGGTAGAACTCATACTCGTAAATAT